CTACACCTTGATAATATGAGAAGTACGATTGTTATATAAAGCTGGGAAAATCGAAACAGACTCCTATTTAGCTCAGCTTTACTGTCGTTGTGCCTTCAACAGCATTATTGGCATCATTAGCTATGCTGAGTTTATATCGCCGCTTGAATTCGACAAGCCATATCTCACTTGTTGACATTCAATCAGAGATCCATAAAAGTGAGGTTGTCGTCCAGATTAAACAAAGACATTCGATTTAACATTAGGTGTCTTCACCGTATTTCGTTTAAGGTGATTATGGGACTGGTAGTTGAATTTTCCCACAATGATATTAGTCAGCCTTACGTTTCTATTGAATTTCACATAGCTTTACTTTCCTAAATGGTATTTTCACCTAGGTTGGACTGCAGTTCCAACCTAGCCTAGGTATTATCACCATCCCCAGCGAGACGCGTGCCAAGACAGTGCAGCGTATAATCTCGACACCTTAGCCGCCACGCCACATTGCCACAAGTGCCCTTGGGTCACAGGGTGGATGTGAATTCCAAGGAAGGCAAGGAATTTTTAAATATAACATTCTGTGGTGAGAATGTCGATGAAGCATTGTTGCATTCGTCATAGTAATCAACTGCATTACTTATTCTTCGTTTATAAGTAGGTTTTAAAAACCTTCGGTGGTTAAACCTTAAAAGCCCTAGACTGAGAAGTCAGAACAAGTCGTTTAGTAATTGGACTTAAAAGCTTAAATCTCATTATCTTAACCATACTTGCTTGGTCAGGGCTTTCTTTTGCGTCGTTAAGACTTGATGGTCAGAGCCTGACTTTAGTCTTTTGTATGAATTGTGTTCACCCTATTTTGTTGATGAGGAAACCCAATTACTCTTCGTTTTCCCGATTTTACACAAAACTCCGCACAATCGAGGCATCAACAACATGCTACGACATAAACTCAGATTCCTGCTAGACACTTATGCCCATCGAGGCAATAGGTCGATCCGATTCTTCTTCGTCGACGATCTACTTGGCGAATACCGGTATCCAAGCCCCTACTTCAGCAGTCTGACGACTTTAAGTTCAGATAAGAAGCAAGGTCTTTTTCATGGCTCAGTGAATAATATCAAAATTTGTTCATCATTAACTGTAACTGACTAATGCACATCACAGGTGAACCCTTCTGGCAGCAATAGGCAACTATTAGTCTCATTATGCATTAGTTTAGACGATTAAAGCACTACGTGATGTGCTAGTTTATGGGGTAAGACACCGCTCACGTGCTTGCCTCAGTACTGTTTTTTTCTTAATTTAAGCGAATTTCAAGTAGGCGTAAAGACTAGGCCTTTCTGGAAGAATAGGTTTCAAGTGTTCTACCACCCTCGTTTGGATTTTACAACCTAATATTATCAGAGAACATTATTGAACTGACATACATCTTCTTTATAGATACGGCACTGTGGATGTAACCACGATGAAAATATTCCACTTATGCTCGCCCCAAAACTTGGAGTCAATTCTGGAGACGTAAAGATTGAAGACGATGAATCCGAGATAGTAATATGGAAAAAGGACGCAAGCGCTGCCAATCATGATATTAAACCCGGCTCACAAGTCAATACTGCTTAAAAGCCGCTGCTCTAACAGGTGACGCCCCATGCGAGGTGAGTAATGATGATATGAGAATGGGCCACTTCAGTCCGAAATTTATCCATAAAATAAAATCTTGGTGGTGGCACCACCTTGACTTTTAATTTTACTATTCAACATTCAATCTTGCTTGTTTTGCTTTAGCTGTATTTCGCCTTACCATGGGCCTAACACTCTAAAGTGTCTTACAGGATAAAATGTAAATTATTTAAACTAAGACTAATGTTTTAAGTCGATGTTTAGATTGATATACACCCTCGTGAGTTGCTAAACAAAGTCATGATAGCCATCGTTTATGATGGAGTCATTCTATGCCTTTTGCCTTGGCTTCCTTGAGTTCTCGTTGGAACATCT